AATTTCATCTTCATTATTTGTCTATTTGCTATACCTCCTCTTTTTTTTATTTTTATTTTTATCAGGTGTCCTGGGCTTATAATATGCATCTTTAATTCATGACACCCTCGCTTCAGGTAATTTATACAACTTTCACCTATAATATCCAGAACCTTATACACTAATATTGTATTTCTCCACTCCTTTCTTGTGTATTAGTTTTAAATCTTTTAGTATTACTTCCAGTGCAGGTCTGCTAGCAATAAATTTTCTCAGATATATTTTTAATCTAAAAATGTTGTTATTTTATCTCCATTTTAAAGATATTTTTAATATATCTAGATTACTAATCGGAAGTTTATTTTTTCCTTCAGCTCTTTATATAAGATATTCCATTTTCTTCTCCTGTGAATTATTTCTTGATGAGAAATTTGTGATTCTTTTGATATTTGTTCCCTTATACCTAATGTATCTTTTTTCTAGATTTTTAAGATTTACTTTTTATCCCTGATTTTTAGCGATTTGATTATTATATTCATTTGTGTAGTTTTTCTTTCTTGTGCATTAATTGTTTTCTAAATTTGTCAAGGCTCTTGGTTTTATGTTAGTTTTCATAAAATGTAGATAAGTTTTTTGCCATTATTTATTCACATATTTTTTCTGCCTCCACCCCTAGGATGTCAATTACACAATTTGATGGATCTTGATAGTATATTATTGGTTACTGGGTTATATTTTGTTTGTTTGTTTGCTTATTAAGTCTTTTTTCCCCTCACTGTACTTCACTTTGCTCTGTCTATATTGCTCTGTCTTTAAGTTTACTGATCTTTTCTTTCATAATGTCTAATCTGCTCTTAAATACATCTGATGAATTTCTTATTTTATATATTGTATTTTTCAGGTTTATAATTTTTATTATAAACTTCTCTTTTTTTATTATTTACTTCTCTTTTATATATTTTACTTTTTCTTATTATGTTCATGTTTAGCATATTTATAATAGTTATTTTAAAGTTCTTGTCTACTAATTCCATCCTCTGTCATTTCTGTGTCTGTTTGAATTGAGTAATTTTTCTCCTAGTTATGGAACACAATTTGCTTTTTCTTTGAATATTTAGTATTTTTGAGGAATTGTGAATATTTTTGAATATCATGTTGTTGGCTGCTAGATTTTATTTTCTTCCTTTAAAGAATGTTGAAGTGCCTTTTGGCAGGTAGTTAAGCTACTTGTGGGCCAGCTAGATCTTTTAACGTTTTCTGTAAGCTTTATTATGACAAATCTAAAATGACATTTTAGATTTAATTTAGTACTATTACTGAATTAAGTGCTAAATTTCTTTTAGTAATGTGAGAGCTCTGGAATTGCTTCTTAAACTCATAGAAATTTGCCAAATACATACAGTTTTATTATTCGGTAACAAACTCAAAAGGATTGCTATCCAGATTCTTGTAATTCTTACCTACATAAGTCCATCCTCTCCCTCATATTTTTCCTAAAACCCCAGTCACCTCAACCTCCCAATCTCCAATCTCACATCCTCCACCATAGGGACCATCATGCTGTGCATGGGTGTTTGCCCCTTAACTGTGATCTAGAAGTGCCAGCATGCAGAAATTTGTGGGGATTAGATGGCTCGCCTCACATTTTTTCTTCCTCTCAGAAATCAAAATCCTGCACTGTCTTTTGATCAATGTCTGAAAACAGTTGCTTCACATATTTTGTCCAGTTTTTTAGCTATCTATATTAGAAAAGAGGGTTCAGGTCCAGTTACTCATGGCTGATGATGAAATTCTCCTTCTAGGTGATTTATTTTTTGTTTAAAAAAAAAGCCTAGCCATATTTTTTTCCGCATGCCAGCTATATCTTTAACAGTAGCTTACTGTATAACACTCAAATATACAAACATAATGCCAGGTGGCTTTTAGAGAGATAATGAGAAAATGGAGACATGAGACTTATATGCTAGGCAATAATGATGTTTTAGAAGACATTATAAGCAGGGCAGTCGCTGAAAAACAAAATGATTATAATTGATTAATTACAAAAGAAAAGGGTAACTTTTGCACAATGGTGAAATAAAAGATTTGTAAATTATAAAAAAGAAACAGGTATGTAATTCAGGGAAGAGACAAGTTGACGAAAATAAGTAGGCTGCTAAACAGAAAAGTGAGGCTTATAAAGAATGAAGCAACCAGGCCTCTAGCCAAGGTGCTGAACCTGAGTGATATTCAACTCAACACAAAATGATACTTGGCCCAGTACAGAAGAGAACGGCTTATAGAAATCTGTAATGAATGGAAAATGACCAGGCAATCACAGAAACTAAAGACACCACAGAAGACCACTGAACTGCCTAATCTGTGTTAGTAACATTTCTAGCACATCTATGGAGAGGAAGTAGGGAAATAAGTGCTCTGAGGTCAAAGAAATATATTGACATTCTTTTCTGTAAGCTCTGGAGCATACAAAACATTTCAGAGTCACAGAGGAGAAAAATTCTCTCTTTTCACCACATAGAGATTTTCCCACAGGACTAGATCATCATGGTGCCAAGGCTGTTTTGTAAAGCTGCTTCAGAAAGCCTTATCAATGTGAGAATGTAGAGCCACCTGCTTTTCCAAAAAAAAAAAAAAAAAAAAACACCTAGTATTACAAGCTAAAAATACCATTTTTATAGTATTATGATTCAGTTCGACTAGCTCTAAGAACATGCTGTGGGGAAATTTGGAGCTATAAACTGGTGACATGAAGACAAATCAGATTCTTCCATCCCTCAAGAAACTCACAATTCAGAAGAATAAAACTGAAATAAAAACATTCCAAATTTTGACCAGTAATTATTTGGAATTTATCTCAACAAGAAGAGGTAAAGCCATGTACAAAATATCCAAAAAAAACCTTAATCAGATCAAAGCAGAATAAAGTGTTTGGTAAAGTTGAATAACAATATATGATATACTTTTAAACCTTATTATTTAGTAAAAATATGAAAAGGAAAGTTGGATTCAGTGATGTCTACATGGATTAGCATGAATGATATTTTCTACAGTATTTCAAGGTTCCAATGGGAATGCTTTAATTTTATATGCATATTTTTGGTCTCTGATGAAGCAAGGAATTTTCTAATTGGTAGCTAGTGAGAGCCTCAAAGTAGATTCTCAGATTCGTTGCCTTGACAGGGGACAGTAGTGAGATCATTGTATTAATAAAGTCTAAGTCACTCTGACTAACAATGTCTTTCTTGCCAACTCATAGCTGCTGAATTACGCTCACTTCATTGCAGATATAAAACCTGTTGTGCCAACTTAAAGAAAGGTTTTTCTTCCATCTTTTTATAGAGAAGTGTACAGGGCAATAATTGGGGCTTAATATACTTTATAAAGACTGATATGAAAAAATAAAAAAAATAGTTGAAAACAAATGCTGAAAATGTGAAAAATGTGAACGAAAGATGCCTTGGAATATAAAAATAATTTGCACTTATTTTTTTTCCTAAAATTATCAAGTCTATGTTTAGTTCTAATAGCCCTAAAGGCTACTGGGAGATAAATGTCCCCAGAAACATACCATTTACACATTTTTCTTTGCACTCTTCCAGACTTTCAAATCGATTCTGATTTCCTTCACATCCTCCATATATAAATTCTTCACACTGTTGAGTGTGAATGTTGAAAAAAAATCTCTTTAGCATTGCTTTGCATGGGCCATCGTCTGCTTTAAATGCACAAAATGGATGTACAAGTTTCAGTGGCAGCAACTCAGCATCTACAAAGTAAAAATAAAAATGTGATATATCATCTTTCATCAACATTGTAATAATGTCCTTTATTTCCTTTTTATTTCATTTTTAATATGTCCCAGATTTAAGGAAAAGTACAAAAACCCATAAAAAGTTATTCAAAGCTATCAAAAAGGTAGATAAATTTTATAAACTCACCAAAAGACAGGTCTCATCAACTATTAAACTTGAATAGTTGATTATTAGTCAGTGATTAAAGAAAAATGTAGATTAACTTTTCTAGACTCATGATAGATATTGCTTAAACCTGTACCAGTTGACTGATATGGCATTGAGTAGTAGTTGCAAGGTAACCTTTTTGTTGACATTACAAATAAGTAGAGACCTCTTTTTTAATTCAGCATTTGTTGAGGGCAGATGTTAATTTGAGTTTCCCTCCCTAATCCACAACTGCGTCACTTTTTAAAAAAAGCAACACTGTATTCATATTCATATATATATATATCATGCTACATTAAACCATTCTCTAAATATAAAAATGTGTTTGATCAATCTATCTCATCATAAATTCTTTTACTTACCATGATTATTTTTTTAAGAACATTGAAAAAATTAAATGCTTTCTATGTTTAAAAAGAATGAGGCTATTCTCTTGACCTGGAATTATAACCTTTCCCCTAAATATTCAATCACTTATTTTAGTCACAGGAGAATTTTCTGTCTTGGGGAGGAGGGACTTGTACATACAGAAAACTCAACTAAAATTTTTAAATTTGATTTTTATCAAGTCTAATAATAATAGAGGCCTAATTTTAAATAAATTACATTTGCTTACGGAATCTACCAGTAAGATATACACTGAAAATTTTGATTGGTACAACCAAAATAATAATGATCAAAGAATGCCATATAATACTGCTTCAGTATTGTACGTGCATTGAGTCTATGTCTTTTCTATACCATTCAATATTCACTGTGATCCCTTATAGGGGCTATTGAAACTTCAAACCAACTTAAAACAATTTGCCCTATAGGATGCAGAGATATTCTATTAAATTAGAACTGGTAAGTATAAATATCTTCAAAAAAATGTTTTAATGCACCATAAAATAATTTACTTTTTAAAAAAAGCATGAATAACTGTCACTTTAATATTTTTACATAAAATATTTAAAAACATAAAAGATAAATTTGTGAATGTATGATATTCTAAAAAAATCAATGATAAATTTTCCTGTAGCTTCACAGAAGTTTTGAAAGAGAAAGTATGTATATCATACTTTCTTGGATTAGGTAATTTTATCAAGCCTCTTATACACTTCATATTTTGTTATCCTAATGATCTATAGAATTAATGTCAAGTATTAGTCATATTTCAGTAATGTTAAAACTATAACAAAATAATTTAAATGTTATTTTTAATTTTCTATATGAGTCTTAAAGAGATAAATAGGCCTTGCAATCTTGAAATGGTTAAAAATATGGCTTTCTACACATATCTTGGTATTATTATATTTTTCAATTCATTCAACACTTTGCATGAACATGTAAATTTTATCTCAACCACTAATGAAGCTTTTTTAAAAAAAATCTGAGTATAATTTGCAGAATATCATATCACCATTTTGATTTCTTTGATAACTAAATTAACCAATTTTTCAATTGATATAAATTGAGATAACAGAAATAATAGAACAGTAAACTGTCAAACCTAAAATTTGATAAGGTAGAATAAAAGAGATTTGTTATAATGCATACATCTTTATCTACAAAAGACAGCTCCACACCTGAGTTGACATATCAGGAAAACTATTTCTCATGAATAAATAATTTTATATGATTCTTTCTCATTGATGATTCCTCTACATTTTACTCTTAACATATTTGATAGTCCTTATCATCATTTATATTTACATTTTCTGTATTAAAGACATATTCACCCCAAGTTCAACCTGCTATTTTGAAGTTTTGCCACCAGGTGGAGGCAGTGCATCACAAAAATGCAAGCTAGACCACCACAGTTGTAGTTATAACAGTAATAACAGCTAATGTTGTTTACTGAGTAATTACTATGCTTCAAACATTTCGTAATTATACCATTTAATTATCACAACAAACTTCTGAGTTAGGCGTTATTATTTCCATTTTACAAATTATAAAGTGGCACTTCTGAAATTAATTGCTCAATTCACACTCTTAAGTGATGACTTTAGAATTGACCCCCACATCGTTTTATAGTCAATGTCTCACACATTCTTACTGAGTGATATTGTCACAGATCTAATCTATGTGACTAAGATTCCTAAAGTGGCACTTAGGTGAAGCATACAGACTTAATTATATAATGTCCACTCAATTATTTTCTAAAATTCACTTTATAGAAACTAAAAAGCTTTTGATGATGAAAATAGGTAATGATTTTACACCAATTTCCTAAGAATTAACTTAAGAAATGTTTCTAAGAAAACCATTAACTTTTTAAAACTATATTTTATTAATTGTTAGTTAATTATTCATCTTTACCGTTTAACATCATATATTGCTTCCATGAATCCTTAATTTTGTGCAATGAACTTGAGTCACACTTGAACACAGCATCCCTAAAGTAAGGAAGTGATCAGGTGTGCCCTGGTGGACACTATGCCATGCAAATTCATTCAAAAGGGACGGAAGTCTATCTTATTTTCATTTCTTACTTTGGATAAAGCTTTTTGAAATTCAACGATCGTGTGTGATCATTTGTCAGGTACTGTTCTGTCACAGCAGATACGGTAGTAGTATATTAGGTGGCAGCAGTCCCTCCACTTTATAGTGCAGGTAGGCACTAAAGACATATAAATATTCAAGAAGTTTAGGGTGCCATGCGAGTGCGTAATAAGACACTTAAGGTTGTCTAAGGGTGTCAGCGATAACTTCCTGAGACTTGCCACTGAGACTTGAAGAAAGGCTTGACTATTATAAGGATTGAGCTAAGGCCATGAAACTAGAAAACACATACAGGGCAGTGTAATAGGAATTCCATGTGATGCAGCCAGATAAATAGAAGTATGGTTTATAGTTAGCCATCTTTGTAATTGATTTCTTGTATTTTATGTCTCACAGTCTGAGGATTACTATCTCCCTCTCCCTTCTCCCTGTCCTGGGATGTTGGATGGTAGCTCATGATAATATTTGGAGATGTGTCATGTCCTTGTTCGTTAGAATCCTCATTCTTCTAGAACTTGTTTGGAAACCTAGAGCGTTAAGGCGTCTTACTACCTAAGTCTACATATTGCTTCACTCTCTGACCAAAAGATTGGATTTCTCTAGAAGAAAGAAAACAGTCATGTACTCTTCGCTTTCTCTATGTCAGAAAATGTATCAGATGCTTTTTGCAGTTGCTATATAAACCATATGAACATAGTTATTTATATCACTTATTTATAGATTAGGACACTGGGAGTCAGAGAGTTTATATAACTCATCTAATTTTGCAAGGCTACTGTGTGGCAAACCATACACGCAAACTTAGGTCTGTCTGGTTCTACATCTTATAAAAGATATTTGCCTCTCTCTGAATGTTGCCTCTCTCCCAGTCCAAAGGAATTTTTAAAAAGCTTATCACCACTGCTTTTGATTATTCATTTTGTCTTTTCAAGAAGCTTATTGTATTTCATTCTCCCTGAAGGTTGGACTGATTTTTTAAAAAGTCTACTATTGACTTGTGAGAGAAGCAATAAAATCTTGTATATTTTTCTATAAAATGATAGTAAACTATTTCGATGATATGGTATAATTCTATAAAATGGTGGCATGACTTTGCCGTAATGTGATAAATGGTATCTCCAAAACTGAGTAGATTCAGAGGTGGGATCATGCTATTGCAAGATTAAAGCCAAAATTGGATAAGACTTCACCTAAGTCTAGCTTTAAAATCAATTTTTTTTTTTTATCCAGCTGGTTTTGGTCTGGATTTCCCCAGAGATTTGAAACTCTGGCTTAGTTCGTGATAGGTTAATTCTGGTTTCTTGGCTGACTGTAGCAGCAGCAACAATTTCAAGACTTCCTGGTTAACTGACATGCATTTTCTCAGCCTAATTGGGGGAGACTGGACGAGGTGAATATTGAGAACACCTGGACCTTTTCATTCGTCACATCCCGTCTCTACCCAACTTTCAGAATATTAGATCTTTAGCCATCCTTTTTGAGAAATGAACCAAATGAAGGATTATTTGCCTAAATTTTATAAGGCATATTATAGTTTTTACTTCATTAAATGTTTCATCTTTAATAAATTGTAACTATACGGAAAGATATAGATATATATTTAACTATCTATCTCTAGATATAGATGTAGATATAGACATATAGAGAGATAGAGATAGATAGAGATAGAGATATATGAAACATAACAATAAGCCTTTATTTTTTACTATGAGTATGATGTGAGTGGCCCTGTTACTCCTAGCTGGGTTTGCTTCTTGTCTACTGGTTACTGGGCCTCATCTAGGCTAGGCCTATGTAGGTGGCTGCACTATAAGCTATGGGTCCGGCTGGTGCAGATCTTCAGATCTGCTCAAAGTATCTCACTCGGGGCTACGGGCTGAAGTGATATAGCATTTAGCACTTGGCCACTGCCCTATGCACAGCTTTCAGATCACCAAGCTTAGATGCGTCCCCTTCCTCTTTGCATTAACAGCAGCACCTATGCATGCCCCTGTCACTTTATTTACTATATTATATTGAATAACCTGTCTACAATTCAGTCTCCCATGTGAAACTGTGATTCTTGAAAACCCAGAGTCAGTCATCACTGCTTCCCTAGAACCAACCACAATTTCAGACACATAGGATATATTCATTCAATCTTTATCAAAGGGAAGTACACTGAACAAAGTCACTTTAAAGAGCTATTAGAGATATGAATAAGAATGTTTATGGAAATCTTTGGTACCTCATAAACATACACACAAATAGAAGCTGTTACTGTGTTCATATTCTCTCACTATTATCAATGACGAGATTTCTATCAATCATGTACTAATTTGCCACAAAATATTTCTTTTAAGAAAGAAATCTATAATAATAATCACTGTACAGTCTTCTCCTTGTTCTATTGTTTTATTGTTAATACTTTATTTTTGGATTTCCAGTGTTTAATATTATAGCCAAAAAAAAAACCAACCCCTCCTTGCCTCTGGCAACCACCTACAGATTTGGACTAAGGTTTGAGTTTTGTTTTGTTGTTTTGTTTTGTTTTTTTACACATCACATTTTATATATAAGACACTTTGCTGAAAACTAATTTTTCTATACAATGGAGAAAAAACTGTTAACTTTTTTATTAAAATTGAGAGCTTTGACTAGCTACAAAAGTCATATGCTTCTATCATTTTACCTGTAACATTCTTATGTTCTCCATCTTCCTCAGGAACAGCATTGAGAGAGACAGAGGCACAACTAAGCAACAGATATACAGAAGCCCAAAATATCTGTTCTTTCTTCATTGCACAAATCATCTGTGAAATACAGAACCCAGATATAGTTAATAAAGAGCATTAATGTGGAATTATCTATAGACTAGTAAAAATCATATGCATGCCTCCGAATGCAAATTTTTATGACCTTTAATAGGCATTCTCATGCACCTCTGTCCACAAATTCCATCACATACACATTCAGTGACTATATCTAAAAACATTCAAGTATACAGATCATATTTCAACCTTGAAAATACAAATTAAAATGGAACTAATTGAGAGACATGGGTAATAGCTAATCAAAATAGCTAAGTATGTATTAAGGTCTATTTTCATATGCTGTTCTATTTGTCACATATTTCTCATAGCTATTATTTTTTCTCAGCACTAATTATATTTTAATATATTTTTCTTGCATTATTCTATTATTTCATTAATGGAACATTCAAATACTGATTTATCTTTCCTTTTGCTCTGGTCTTTCTTTTAAAAAAGAAACATATTATCCAAATTTTCATCTTTGTTTCCTTTAAAATATATTTCTGTTTTTATAACCAATTTCCTAACCAGGTAGTATGTGAAATAATAAAACTGCTGAAAAAAGAAATGTCTGACATTCTAGCCAGTCCTTTATACCAGTCTTCCACTCTCAAGTTAGGGAGTTATCTAATTCAAAAGAGTTTCACAAAAAAGTGACTTTAAATGATAAACCAACACATTTACATTTAAAGGAAATAGATTTCAGCAGGATTTCCTGTTTCAAATGGTTTAAAGATCCATAGCAAAAAAATAATGGAAAAGCACATTTAAAATTTTTTTAAAGGGCCATTTTTACTTTGGTTTCAAAGGTGGAAGGAAATGTGTAATGTTCACATAGCATTATGGGAAGAAGAAAAGAAAGGAACATATGCACATGTTCAGCCACTGATGATATCACAGTCAGGAAGGAAAGGGAAAGCTTATCAGTAAACATTCACAAATGCAGGAACAGATATCCCATCAAAAACAAGTTAAAGAATTCTCTGTTTTTATATGTAGTGAATGCAGCTGCAATATACACCATTCAGATGTGGGGAGCCTAATAATAAATAATAAAGTAATAAATACCATTTTGCTTTAAGCTTCGTTAAAATAACTAATGAAATGTATGAGCTGTTTCCTCAGTGCTTTGGAAATGTTAATACATATTTGAGTTTTAGTCAGTAGCAGTGTCATATTCCTTCTAAATCATACCATAAACTACTTGAATCCACAAATATATATGTATATATGTGCATACATATATACAATTTTGAAGAGTCTTTATCTTATTTTTGAAAAGTATTTTTCAGAGACTCTTCCATTTGATTCTTTGAGATATACAACTCTGTTATACTTTGAGTGTAAAATATAGCATGTTTAGGGTAGCAGGCTGAGGTTGGGTGCCTGCTGAAGAACATGATGAGAATGTGAGCTCTAAATCTTTCTTTAAAAATGGTGGCCTAGAATGTTGTCTAATTTTAGTCGTTTTAAACTTTCCTTTATTGCAAGGATCAGATGCCATCTCAGACAGTTTAAGTCAAAAGGTCATCAGCTCATTCATTCTAGAGAAGGTGGAACAATCTCGGACTAGAAAGGTAGGTTTGAAGCTGGATCTCAGAAATGTCTGGAGTCAGGATGCTGAATACCACCATGAGTCTCTCATTGCTGTTACACCCTTTAGACAGTAATAACTGGGATGATAGCCAGCACTTGGTGGATATTTTTGGTGGTTGTTGTTTTGATCTTACGTCACATCATGATGATGTGCTTGGAAATATGCTAACTTTGAAAAACATTGTCTGGTCGATATCTCAGCATCTATCTGTTTAAAAGAGTAAATGGAATATTTTTGTTACTGTTTGACCTATATTTTCCTGTATTAAAATTTATTTACCACATTTTTTTTTCTACAGAATCATAATTTTTACTATTTTACTTTCTTTCCATTTGATTGATGCTTTATTGCCCCGGCAACAATAGCATCCTTTGCTAAGGTTGGACAATCTAGAAAAAAAAAATAGATAAATTCCTAGAAAAATATAACCTACCAAGACTGAATCATGGTGAAATAGAAAATATGAACAGTAATTACTAGTGAGGGGATTGAAGCAGTATTCAAAAACCTCCCAATGAACAAAATTCCAGAACCAGATGGTTTCACCGGTAAATTCTATCAAACATTCAAAGAGGAATTAAAACCATTTCTTCTCATCCTATTCCAAAAAATAGAAGAGAATGGAACTCTTCAGAATTCATTTTATGACACCAATATCACTGATGACTATAGATGCAAAACTCCTCAACAAAATATTAGCCAACCGAATTCAACAATACATTACAAGGATTATACACCATAATCAAGAGAGATTTATTCTAGAAATGCAAAGATGATTCAATATCCACAAATCAGTCAATATGATATACACATTAACAAAATAAAAGATAAAAAAATCATATGATTATCTTAATAGATGCAGAAAAGTCATTTGAAAAAATTCAACATCCATCTATAATTAGAAACTCTCAACAAAGGAGAGGGAACACACCTCAACATAATAAAGGCCATGTATGACAAGCTCACAGCTAACATCATACTCAATGGTAAAAAGCTAAAAGGCTTTCTTCTTAGATCAGGAACAATACAAGTGCCCAATCTTGCCACTTCTATTCAACATAATATTGGAAGATCTAGTCAGAGCAGTTAGGTAAAAAAAAAGAAAAGGCATTCATATTGGAAAAGAAAAAAGTAAAACTATCATATTTTGCAGATGACATATTATATATAGACAACACTAGAGTTTCCATCAAAATCTGTAAGAACTAATAAATTCAGTAATGTTGGAAGATACAAAATTAATACACAAAAATTGGTAGTGCTTCTACACACTAATAATGAGCTATCAGAAAGAAAAATAGCAATCCCATTTATAATTTCATCAAAAAGAATAAAATATCTAGAAATAAACTTAACCAAGGATGCAAAAGGCCTATATATTGGAAACTATGACATTAATGAAAGAAAATGAAGAAGAGATACATAAATGGCAAGATATTCTGTGCTCATTGATTGGAAGAATCAATATTGCTAAAATGTCCATACTACCCAAAGCAATCTATACATTCAGTGCAATTACTAGCAAAATTCTAGTGTCATTGTTAAAAGAAATAAAACAAATAATCACAATTTGTGTGGAACCATGAAAATCCCAAAATAGCTAAAGCAATCTTGAGAAAGAAGAACAAAGTTGGAAGTGTCATGCTCCCTGATTTCAAACTATATTACAGATCTATGATAATTAAAACACTATGATATTGGCGTAAAAACAGACATATAGATTGATGGAATAGAATAGAGATCGCAGAAATAAATTCACACTTGTATGGTCAATTAATTTTTGACAAAAGAGCCAAGAATATACCATGAGGAAAGGACAATTTCTTCAATAAATGACATTTGAAAACCTGGATCGCTATCTTACACCATACACAGAAATTAACTTAAAATTGATTAAAGACTTGAACAGAAACCATAAACCATAAAACCTAAAACTATAATCCTTCTAGATGAAAACATAAGTGATAAGTTTCTTGACATAGGTCTTGGCGATCAATTCTTTGAGTCTGACACTAAAAGAAAAAGCAACAAAAGCAAAATAAATAAGTCGGACTACATCATACTAACAAGCTTCTGCACAGCAAAAGAAACCATCAACAAAATGAAAATGTAACCTATGGAATGAGAGAAAATATTTGCAAATCATGTATTTGATAAGGGGCTAATATCCAAAATGCATAAAGAACTCATACAACTCAATAGCTAAAAAACAAATTATTGGATTAGAAAAATGGGCAGAAGATCTGAACAGACATTTTTCCAAAGAAGACATACAGTTGGCCAACAGGTACATGAAATTGATGCTCAATATTATTAATCATCAGGAAAATGCGAGTCAAAACCACAATGAGATATCACCTCATACCTGTTAGAATGGCTAATATAAAAAAAAGATAGTCTCAGGAATGGGGAGCACGGCATAGGGGATGCAGGCAGCAGTAATGTAATGGCTATGTGTAGAGCCAGAGGGAAGACAGAGTAATCAGGGAGATCATTTCATAAACTATATAAATATCTAATAAATGTACTGGATACTTGAAACTAATAATAAAATTTTTAAAAAGACAGGAAATGATGCAGATCAGAAAGGATGTGTTAAAAAGTGAACCTTTGTGCACTGTTGGTGAAATGTGAATTGATGAAGCCACTATGGAAACAGTATAGAGGTTCCTCAAAAAATTAAAAATAGAACTACCATGTGATCCAGAAATATAACTTTTGAGTATTTATCTGAAGAAAATAAAAACGTTAACTTGAAAAGATATATGTGCCCTCATGTTCATTCCAGCATTATTTAAAATAGCCAAAATATGGAAATAACTTAATTGTCCACTGATAGATAAATGGATAAAGAAAAAGTGGGGTGTGTGTGTATAATTAGTTTTATTCAGCCATGAAAAAGAATGAAATCTTGCCATTTGTGACAACATAGATGGACCTTGAGGACATTATTCTAAGTGAAATAAGTCAGAGACAATGCCATATGATCTCACCTATATGTGGAATCAAAAAAAAATTAAGCTCATAGATATAGAAAACAGATTGATGGTTGTCAGAGGTGGGGAGTTGGGGATTGGGGAAATGGGTGAAGAGGGTATAAATTTTTTTTTTTAAGTATGCATTTAGTAGAGTTTATGGGAGGTAGAGGTTAGGAAGAATTTGAAATATAGTTCAAAGGGAAAAAAAACCCAAAGATTATTTTCACCTAGAAAATTCTGTGTTTTTGAGCCTGGAGATGGGATAAGGGAAGATTTATGTCAGTTCAGAGAGTTTTTTTCTCTCTCTCTAATTAGTATTTAGCAGGATAATGATCTGAAAATGTTTCAACAATTATGAAAGCAAGAAAGAGGGATACATAACAGGATGTGAATTGCCTATTCACACAATCACATAGTACTTACTA